TTGCTGAAACTAAGGAGAACCTGAAGTGTTTGCTGCAGAGGGTCAAGGACTGCAGCCTTCAGTATGGATTAAGGCTCAATATCAAGAAGATTCTCACCACAGGGCCAATTGACAGCATCAGGATAGATGGTGAAGAAATTGAGATTGTCAATAGCTTTAGTTTGCTTGGCTCCATAATCAACACTCTTGGCACCAGTAGGCAGGAAATTAAAAGACATATTACAATGGAAAAATTGGCTGTCCTCTCCAAAGTACTGAAGAGCAATGGTGTCACTCTGGAGACTAATGTGCACCTGATACAGGCCATGGTCTTTGAAATCACTTGCTATACATCAGGGAGCTGGACAATTAGAAGGGACGATAGGAGAATTCATGCCTTTGAGCTGTGGTGTTGAAGAAGAGTATTGAATATGCCATGGACTGCTAAGAAAACAAACAGGTTCATCTTGGAGAGGGTTAAACCAGGCTGATCCTTGGGGAAAAGGATTTTCAAGCTTCACCTGACATACTTTGGACATGATGCAAGGAGGGAACAATCCTTGGAGAGCGACATCATGCTTGGGAGGGTGAAGGGACAGACCCTTTAGGAGGTGGATTGATAGAGTTACTGGGGTAATTGGGGTGGGTGTGTCAGACAGTGAGATTGGTACAGGACATAGCAGGGATTAGAGATCTTGTACATAGGGTCTCTATGAGTCGCAAGCCACTCGACAGCACATAACAACAACAACAACAGAAAAAACTGAAAAATTCCTTTAAACTCATGCCCTACCCAGATTGACACAAACAGATATAGAATACCTAAACAGACCCTCTACAATAGAAGAAATTGAGCAGGTCATGGCACGAGCCCTCCACCATTAAAGTCCTGGGCCAGATAGGCATCATGGCTGAATTGTACCAAACATTCAGAGTTAAAAAAGAAAAAGAAATCAGAGAAGGAAAACATGAAAGTAATAATACCATTTACAACCAGCCAATCATAAATTGAGATACTTAGTTATAAACCTAACTGGAAACACAAAAGACTTTTACAAAAGAAAAAAAAACAAAACAAAAACCAACTACAAAACACTTCTGCAAGAAACTATAAAAGACCTAAAAAAATGGAAAAATGTTTCCTGTTCATGATTAAGAAGACTCTATATAGTGAAAATGACATTCCTACCAAAAGTTATCTACATGTTTAACACAATGCAAAAAAAGATACAAAACACATTTTTTCAAAGAAATAGAAAAGGCAGTGGCAAGCTTATTTGAAGAGGAATGCACTTCTGCAAAACAAAAAAGTGAAGTGGAATATGCAGTACTCCCTGATCTCAAAACCTGCTATACTGCTGTAATAACCAAATGTACTGGTACAAAGACAAGCACACTGACCAATGGAACAGAATCTAGAATTCAGAAATAACCCATTTATCTATGGTCAAATGGCATTCAACAAGGAAACGAAATCTGTCAAATGGGGAAATGGCAACATCTTCAAGAAACAGTGTAGGAAATTCAGGCCTGTATCTGCAGAAAGCTGAAGCAGGATACACACCTCTTACTGTACACATAAGAATAAATAGAGCATAGGACCATTATTGTAAAAACAGAGGATAACTAATAAAATGTGTATGGGGACCCAAGGGGGGAAGGGATGGGAACAGAGGAGTAATGGGCAGGTAGGAAATCATCAAATCACACAATTTGGTGGGTGGCTGGAGGGGGTAAAGGAAATAGGAAATATTCTGTGGGGTTCTGGAAAGACAGGGTAATAATGGTGGGCATAGTTCAATAGTGACTTATTTTATTAAACATGAGAATGATTGTATGAAACACAATGTGAATGAAGGCTAGGGAGAAACACAATGTATACAAATTTTGCATACAAACCAATGCAAAATTTTTTTTTTATCATTTTAACAAAATTCACTTAAATGCATGCAGTGTGAATCCACCAGGTGCTCTTCAGGAGAAATTTAGACAATTCCTTTTTCAGCAATGTACTTCTGAACACTTACTGGAGAGTCAGCTCTGAGTCAGTTCCAACTCGAAGACACACAACGTATATGAATATATATGGAATACTAATTATATATTAATTAGTTCCAAAATATCTGCACTTAGTTTTGAACCATAATAGTTTATATATGTCATTAGCTGATAGTAACATTTTAAAATTACTGAAAATAGAAAAGCAAAATTTTTCATTAAAAAATTAAGATACAATATTTTGTCAATAATAATAACATATTTAACCCTTGACCACTGATTTTATTACCTATTTACAATATATTGCAGAGTTACAAGATAAATCTGAAAGTACTTATACATTTAGCTAGATTTCAAAAGAATAAAATTATTTATTCTACTTTAATAAAAGTCAATAGTTGTAGAAGGCTTCAAGCCTTTTTGTTCATAGGGTTGCTAATGAGTCGTGCTCTACTCGAAGGGAATCAACAACAACAACATATGCTATTCAAATTTTTAAAAATTGCTGTTTGCTTAGTAAGGAGTTGCTTTGCCAACTCAGTCTTAGACAGGTGCGCCACAGAAGAAAGATGGGTAGGCTTCTGTGTGATTTTCTGCTTCTGAAAACCTGCTGGAGGGTCAGATATGAGTCACTTCCAACTGGACAGCAATGAGTTAATGTTGCTGAGTTATTTATTAAAATACCTTATGCTTTCAAAAGAATGTTCATAATTTTAAGTAATTCTAATAGTTTTAATTTTAAATATAATCATTTTAACCAGGAATATATTTGTATTAATATTATGTTCTTTATATGTTGTTGTTTATTGTTATGTCCTGTCAAGTTGAAGCAAATTCACAGCTGACCCTCCAGTAGGTTTTCAGAAACAGTATATCACATGGGAAACAGATCGCTTGTCTTTTTATCTCAGAGTAGCTGGTAGATTCGAACCACATACCTTTGTATGGGTGGTGAAACTTGTCATCACTAAGCCACCATACAATATACATATAGTAATGCTTTAAAATATTTAACAATATTTAAAAATCTCCAGAAGGTAAAAAATACATTAAGTGGAAACAATAATTTAGCAAATGAGCATAGTGACTGCAGTTCTGGGGAGAGCATGTGTTTGTGTGTGTGCATGTGTATAGGCAGTCTAATGAACAGACTTCTTGGAAGAGAATATCTGCTTACCTTTTCTTTTCATTGGAATGCACAATTTGTGAAATAAGCCTTTAACCAGGAAGCTTACTAAAACAAAATTGGCAGGTTCATGGTAGTGCAAATGAGTCACAAGTCCAGTATATCCTATGGGATTACATTCTTGATCCAGGTATCCCTACAAAACAAATTTTAATATGTAAACTTAAATTTCTTGATCTTAGAAATATTAAACTAATAAGTCATCAAATGAAGATATATCAATTCAGTACAATAATTAGTTTTAAATCTTACCTCTCTGACTAAGAACTGCAAAGAATATATAAAGAAAAATTTTAACATGCACATGATTCTTGGTTGATTGAAGGACATTAGTGAATGTTTTAGCACTGACAATGCCTATACACATACATAAAAAAAAACAAGTTAGGTATTAAATAAATTTCATTGCATGAATTCCAACAGCAATAAAATAAACCCCACAAACAAAACAACACCAACCCCACTCAATTAAATGTTTCTATTATGTTGCTGATATTATTTGATGCCATCAAATTAGCTATAAGTCATTTTAACTTCATTTACAAGAAACTAAAAACTGCTAGGTTTTACAACATAATCAGTTTCTGCTATATATATGTATATATGTATGTATGTATGTATACATACACATATACCTATATATGCATATACACACATATATACATATAAACACATATATATACATATACAGCATTGAGGACTCTCCTTCATAGGGTTGCTATGAGCCACCTGCGACTCGATGGCACTTAACAACAATAACATCAACACAGAGAGAGAGACCAGCTGGCCCAGTAAACAGAAAGTGATGCTAGCAAGCCAAAGCTGGGTGACTTTTAATCTGCGACCCTCAGACCTGTCTCTCATTGTTTTTGTTCAGACATTCCTCTAGGTCATATAGTCCTGGTGTACAAGTTGCCGTAGCGCAGTCACTTGTGGTTGCTGTGAAGCGTAATACAGTGACACTGATGTGTCAAATGCGTTAATGGTTGGTCACCCAATGTGGACAGAGAGTGGGGTGGAGCTCCCTGATTAAAACAAGCTTGAAATGAGGAGTAGCATCCACATCTGAAATAGCTTGCCTCTGGAAACCCTATGAACCTGGAGAGAGGATGAAAGGCACCCAAGCGTTGAGGACTCTCCTTCATAGGGTAGCTATCAGTCACCTGCGACTCAACAGCACTTAACAACAACAACAACATATACATACACACACACACACACACACACACACACACACACACACACACACAAATATTGTTGTAGCTACTGTGCCATTCAATTTTATTGAACACCTCCCACTTTTCTTTGATCTTCAACTTTACCAAGTATAATAAAATTCTTTAGGACAACACTTCCTAAAAAGCATGTACAAACCATGTGAGAAAAAGGTCTCAAAAGAGCAAAATAATGAATTATAATGAGCACTGCACTGGAATGGGTGAAAATAATGGCAATCTGAAAGTAATGGACAATTAGAAATCATGTGTAAGACAATAAATAGCCTGGAAAAGATCATCACAAGACGAATTACAGGAGGGGAGCAGGGTGAGAACTGTGTATGAATGAATGAATAAATGAAACTAATCTTTTTGTAAATCTCTATTAAAATAAAATAAAATAATAATAATAATTCTGGTTGTTCTTCTTCCAAAACAGACTATAATATATATTGTTGTGCTTGTTATATGCTATCAAGTCTCCTGTGACTCATAACTACCCCCATGTACAATAGTTCTGAACCCTGCCCCATGCTGATCCAGTTTTATTAACTCTGAGACACCCACTCCCATTTCCCCAGTAACTGTGTCAATCCATCTCTTCCGGGATCTTCCTATCCTGCCCTGTCCCTTCAACTTTCCAAGCATGATGTCCTTCTGCAAGGACTGGTCCCTCCTGCTCATGTGCCCAAAGTATATGAGATGGAGTTGCAAGATCCTAACCTCCAAGGACACATTTGGTCTCACCCTCTCTAGGACAGACTTGATTCTTCGCCTGGTGATCCATGGTATTTTCAATACTCTTCTTCAGCACCACAACTCAAAGGCATCAGTTCTTCTATCATCCTTAGTCATTGTCCAGCTCTCTGATGCACAGCAAGTAATTGTGAAGACCATGGCCTGGATCAGATGCACATTCATCTCTAGATTTGTATTGCTCTTTAGCAGTTTGGAGAGGTCTCTGACAGCACATTTCCTGACTGCTGGTGTCAAAAGTGTTGATTGTGGAGCCGAGCAAGCTCAAATTGTTAATAAACTCAGTCTCTTCTCCGTCTATCATGGTGCTGCCAAATGGTCCACTGGCGATAATCTTTGTCCTCTTGATGTTGAGCTTCAATCCATGTCAAAGACTACAGACCTTGACCTTTTTCAGCAAATACTTTAGTGCCTCCACAGTTTCATCAAGCAAGATTGTGTCACTTGCCTAACGTAGGTTGTTGATGTGTCTTCCTCCAATCCTGATGCTACATTCATCCTCATAAAATTTAGTCTCCTAAATGATCTGTTCCACATATAGATTGAAAAGTTATGGAGACAGGATACATCCCTGATGCCCCCCTTTCCTGATTTTGAATAGGGGGTGGAAAGTGGACTAATTTTCCAAATATTTGAAAACATTAAATACATAAGGTGTCACAACAAAATCACTGTAAAAACATTTATTGTATACCTTTTCAATTTCCTTTCTTTATGTAATTTATCCTAAAATAGAGTGTCAATAATTATATTTATTTAGGTAATTTAAATAATATGAAACAATGTACCTTTGCTTTTGCATCTTCTTTGTCATCTGCTTTGGAAACTAATAACATAAGCCTGAGAACCAATGATATACTCAGAGGAAACTGACCCTTCAGTTTGGGCACATTAGACTTTAAAAGCCTTTCTATCTTTGGTAACGGAATATCATAGAAGAACACATTTCCTACAGGATCTTCTCCACGTCTTCCTGCACGACCAGACATCTAAAATGAACAATTCCATTACTTTTGAATTATTTCAGCACTTAACCCTACAAATAGTAAATCTGTGATTTATGTATGCCATCTGGACATAAACTTTAAAAAGTAAATTCTATAAGTTTATTAACTGCTGCTTGGTACAATAATTTAAGCAAAATTTAAAACAATAATTTTTGTTTGCTACTTTTTTCATATCGATGTCTCAGAATCTGTTTAAAGGTTACAACCTTCAAAGTAGGAACAATTTTTGTCTTATGTATGTGAAACCCCAAAACTGAATGTATGTACATATCAGAAATTATCTTGAATCTATTATATTGCAGATATTACTTTATAACTATTGAATGGACAAATGAATAAAACAATGCTTGGTATAAACTGGATGTTCAAAGATGTCATTGTCTCTTCTTAATTTTACTTTTTAATCCAATAATATTTCCAAATAGGGGACTTTCTGAAAACAACTATCTTATTTAGCCAGTCAGCGATTACTTGATAAGCATTTAAAATTACATTTAACTGTGTTTATAAACTGTCATATATGGAACGCATTTTCAGATATTTTTATAGTACATAAATATTTTCTAAACATCATTTATATTGCTATATGAATACATACACTAGGTCTTTATATATATTGATTTAATTAAAAGTATACAGTTGAAATACCTGTCGAAAGTGCAATGCATCCAAATAAACAGAATCTTCTGTAAAAACAACAGATTTACATGGCATATTAATTCCCAAAGCAAGAGTTGAGGTAGCTGTTACCACCTATGGGCAGATGACAAAACAATTTTTTAAAAAACATAACACAATAAATAGATCTATTCATGAGCAAAAATATTCTTTTATAATACTGTATTATAGAATTTCTGAATCCTTTCGTGCAATTTTCTGAGTATCTTCTGATATCTGTTTTAATCTTACATCTTTCCTTGGCTTTGTAACAACCTTCCCCCTCTCCCCCCTCTATCTTTTTTTTTTTCCTCTTTTCATTGATGATTTAGTTGATGTCTTCCCATGACCCACCCATCTGTTCTTTGATCATCAGGGTTCAATACCTACAAACTTTCCCTGAAAAGATTTTTAAATTTAGCTGGGTGGGATAAACCCAAGGTTATATTTTGGTTCTTGTGGTCTTGTTTTCATTTCTTCAGCTTCTATTTGAACTTGCACAATTGATGGTTTGTTGCAGAGTTACCATCTGGCCTGGTTTTGACTGCTGCTACCAAACTTTTCTAATTCTCTCCACAGAAGTAATCAATCTGATTTCTGTGCAGTCCATCTGGTGAAGTCCATGCCTACAGTTAGCATGTATTTCTTTAAAAAGGTATTTGTGATGAACAAATAATTAAATGTGTAAAATTCAATCATTCAATTTCCAGCCTCATTTCTGTCAGCAAGTCCTTAATTTCCAATTATAATTCTTTCTACATGTTCCCAAGTTTGGCATTCCAGTCACTAATTATTACTAATGCATCTTGACTGCATGTTTGATACAATTCAGACTGTTAGATTTGGTAAAATTATTCAATTTCCTCATCTTTGGCTTCAGCTATTGGTGCCTATATTTGAATATATGCACAAATACTCTTAGTCCAAATCTACCAGCTGCTCCACAGGAGAAAGACGGGCAATCTCCTCCTTTGTAATTTACAGCCTCTGTAAACCTGCTGGAGGATGAGTATGAGCAGGTTCTGACTCGACAGGCCATGATAAGAACAAAAACGTATGGTCTCTTTGGTAAAAAAGGTGTACTGCCAACTCAAAGGCAAGCAGTTCAAATCCATTGGCTGCTTCATGGGAGAAAGATGGGCAATCTCCTCTTGTGTGATTGATTTATTGCTTTTGAAAACTCATTAAAGGATCTATTATGAATAAGACTTAATATTTTATACACATATACACACAAACAATTATATATCAGAGTTTTGAGTAGGAAAATTGATAAATTCTAATTGTTTGCATTATATGCAACCAACCTGTTACTTTGAGTTGTATCTTTACAATAAGTAAAAAGGACAATTCAAAAAACTGTACAATATTTACTATTCTGTAGAGGTGTGTTTTCTGGTTTGAGGTTGAGATTAGGGTGTGGCTCTTGCTTTCCATAGGGTGTGAGATGATAGGATTTGGCCTCAAGGGTTTTGGGCTGCCAGTCTGGGGCTATTTCCAGAGTGGGATGATGAATGGAATGTCTGGATTCTACAGAGGTATGTTTTCTAGTTTTTGTGGCTCTCCTGAATAAAACTGGCTTGTAAGCATGAGTGGCATCCACTTAAAAAAAAAAGTTTGTCTCCATAAACTTTATGAACTTGGAGAAAAGTTGAAAATGTTGTGTTCAAGACTTTCTTTTTATTATTTTTGTGTGCGTGTACCGTCAAATCAGATCTTGGTACAGGAGGAGATTGTTCCTCCTTCCCTGCAGAGCATCTGGTGGATTCGAACCTTTCACCTCTGGGATTGTAGTTGCAGCTCCTTGCCACTAGGCCACCAGAGATCCCAGTGTTCAAGACTTTCATTCATAGGGTCTCTATGTGTTGTCTATGACTCTATGGCACTTAACAACAACAACAACCCTACTAAATTATTGATATTTATAACATCTATTTAGAATTAACTGGAATTATAGCATAGCTATAGAACTTCAAAGAGAAATAAGTTATATTTATTATTGAAAATTTTAACACATTTTCTACTCTCAACAAGAACACTCAACGATTAATAGATGACAAAAATACTAATAAAGTAAATGTGGGAGGGAGGAAACAACACTTAGGAAGCATCCCATAACACAGTAGGTATCATCTCCAGGACACATTTTAAACTATGAAACATTTTTAAACACTTAGTATCTTTAATATGAAAGTAAATCCTAAAATATTTGAGAGTACTGAAATCCGAAAAGATAGAAGGATGCACCTGAATGAGACCTCAATAAAATAAATGGAGAAACTTCACATGCTTAGATAGTAATACTTAATACTAAATATAAGCAAATAACTAATTAATAATTGAAAGGTTGAAGAAGAAATTACAATGGGCATCACAGAATATACTGAGTTCCTCCTATAGGATTAACTGCCTCTGAAAATCCACTGCATGGTCAGCTGTGGGACAGTTCTGATTAGACAGTGCACAACAAAAAACCATAAATAAGAGATTAAATTTAGCTGGGACTTAAGTAAAATATATTGCCATTTATGTGTTTATTTTGAATTTTAAAAAAAAAAGCTTGCATGGAAACAAGAAAAAGGTCCAGGTAACCTTAGCTTGCTGTTGTTGCTGTTAGATGCTGTCGAGTCAAATAGTGAAAGATAACTAACAAGATGTGTATAGAAGTTCAAAGGGAAAGGCCAATGGGCAGGGTGACTGACGGTGGTGAAGGGAGGAAATCATAAGGTCACAAAGTTTGGTGGGTATTTCTAATGTAACACTATAGGAAATGGTTTTGGCTCATCCTCAAACTGGAGAGCTACATCATATACATATGTATAAGTACAAGGTAGTGGTTTGGGGTGGGAAAGAGCTATTTTTGCGAGGCTCTGGATTCAGGATTACAAGGTACTGCATTAAGACCAGTAAATGGAACGACTCTGATTGAGGAAGGTGAGAAGAGATCAACCCAATTGCTAAATTTTATTCTATCTTCCTAGCTGTGATGGAAAATTAAACAATACTGAAAGCTCATACATTTGGATTTTAACTGATTCATGGGAAGTGCCTATTGGCTTGGGGATGAGTTGAAGACAGTTCTTTCAGAAAAGCTGTCCTCAAAGTTCACCAACCTTAGCATGTCCCACTCTGAAAAGCATCTCTACAACCTGTCTTTGCTTGTGTTCCATCGAGCCATGATGATATCCAATGCCCCGCCATAGCAGGTTACGCAGCTTATAGCATTGTCTTGTGTCTCTAATTCTATATAAGATCTTCCTGAAAGTCTGAAATACACAAACATGGAATTTTCAGTACCAAATTAAAGCATTGATTCCGTTTAGTATGATGTTATGTATTAAAATGTTGTTTATACATAAATTAAGAGTCAGGCGTAATTCCAAAAGAATACTTGTGGTTTTTTTTCAGGTCAGAATCTGAAGCCCATTTGACTCACAAGCCTTAAAATTCACTGTACATGAGTCAATTCTGTTGAATAGTTGGATGTCCAAAATAGCAATTCAGAAGAGGAAATTCCTTTATCTTTCCCTTAGAGTAGCTGGAGACTTCAAATTGCTGCTCTTCCAATTAGCAATGGAATGCTTAACCTACTACGCTATCAGGAGATTTTATTTGACCAGTAGAATATCTGAAATGCAAATTCAATAATATAATATCTTGATATCATTCTATACCTCATCTTGTTTTCTGTCATTAGTGTTAAATGCTTCAAATCCATTCTTAAAGATGGTTTTTAAATTTGGTTTGTAGTTCTATTTGGTTCTCATGGACTTGATTTCTTTAACTTAGGCTTCAATTTGAATTTGTATGTAAGTAATTAATAATCTGTTTTATATTCAAGGACATCATGCATGAAAAAAGCAAAAGGTCATTAAAGAGACATACAGAAAAGACAAAAAAAGGATGGTAAAAGAGAGTCCAAAATTACATTAGAACACAGAGAAGCTAAATCAAAAGGGAGAAATGAACAGATTTCAAAGATAGTTCAAGAAGACAAAGTACTATAACAAAATATACAAACAGTTGTAACTTGAAAGCCAGAAAGGGAGAATACACTCAGCATTTCTCAATCTGAAAAACAAATTCAACCTTTGAGTTGCAATACTGAAGGATTCTGTGGGAAAAATCTTGAGTGATACAGGAAGCATTAAAAGAAGATGAAAGGAATACAGTGTTATTGTAGCAAAATGAATTGGTTGACCCTAAAGCATTTTAAGAAGTATCATATTATCAATAACTAACAGTAAGGACGGAAGAAGTTCAAGCTACATTGAAGATATTGGTAAAAACAGGGCTACAGGAAGTAATAAAATATCAGTTGAGGTGTCTCAACAAATAGACAAAACCCCTAACATTTTTAACTTGTCTATGTCAAGAAATTTGGAAGACAACTACCTGGTCAACTAACTGGAAGGGATTCATATTTGTTCTCATTTAAAAAAAGAAGAAGAATCAACAGAATGAAAATTATTGAACAATAGCATCAATATCATATACAAGTAAAATTTTGCTGAAGATTCATAAAAAAAAGAACTACAACAATACATATAAAAGGGATTTCTAGAAATTTCTAAAAATTCAAACTAGATACAAAAGAGGTTGTGGAACCACGGAATATTATTGCAGGAATTTAATGGATCTTGGATGAAAGCAGAGAATGCCAGAAAGGTGCTTATATTTGTTTTATTGACTATGCAAAGGCAGTTGACTGTGTGGATCATAACAAAGTACAGATAACAAAATAGGAAGAACTGGAATCTCAGAACATTTAATTGTGCATATGGGAAATGTATACGTAGATGAAGAATCAGTTGTCTGAACAGAACAAGGAAATAGCAACAATTTCACATTACTTGGATTCATAATTAACACCCAAGGTAGCAAAAGTGAAGTAATCAAAGACATAATATATTGAGAAATCTGCTCCCTAGACAATATCCAAAGGGCTAAGGAGCAAAAATGTCAGTTTAAAGACTAAAGTGCTGCCTTATTTGATAAGCTTTGTTTTCATTGTCAAATGTTAGCTGCTGTACACAGACAGGTTGATTTCTGGGTTCTTGTTTCTGTTCCATTGGTTTATGTGTCTTTAACTGTACCAGCACCATGCTGTTTTGGTTGCTACAGCTGTGTAGTAGGTTTTGAGATCAGGGAGTGCTATACTTTTCACTTCATTTTTGGTTTTTGGAAATGTTTTCCTTTCCAAATAAATTTGCAAGTCCCTTTTCTATTTCTTTGAAAAATTAATTTGGTCTTTGATTGTGTTAAATGTATAGATGCTTTTGTAAGATCGTCAGTTTCACTATATTGAATCTTCCTATAGGGAATATTTTCCCCATTTTTTAAGTCTTTTATTGTTTCTTGTAGTAGAGTTTTATCATTCTATTTATAAAGGCTGTTTGTGTCTCTAGTTAGATTTACTTCTGCTGTTGTTATGTGCCGTCGAGTCGTTTCCGACTCATAGCGACCCTATGCACAACAGCCCTAAACCCTGCTCTATCCTGCGCCAACCGCACCGCCTCTGACACACCCATCCCGATTACCCCAGTCACCGAATCCATCCATCTCATAGAGGGTCTTCCCCTCCTGCGTTGTCCCTCAACCCTCCCAAGCATGATGTCCCTCTCCAAGGACCTGCCCCTCCTGGCAACATGTCCAAAGTATGTCAGACGAAGCCACAGAATCCTTGCCTCCAAGGAGTAGCTTGGTTTAATCCTCTCAAAGATAAATCTGTTTGTTTTCCTGGCAGTCCAGGGTACATTCAGTACCCTTCTCCAGCACCACAGCTCAAAAGCATCCACTCTCCTTCTGTCCTCCCTAGTCATTGTCCAACTCTCTGATGCATAACAAGCGATTGCAAAGACCATGGCCTGTATCAGGCGCACCTTAGTCTCCAGAGAGACACTGTTGCTCCTGAGTGACTCTAGAGAGGTCCCTAACAGCAGACTTTCCCATCGCGATACACTTTTTGATTTCCTGACTGCTGGTGCTAAGAGTGTTGACTGTGGAGCCGAGCAAACTGAAGCTGTGAACACTCTCAATCTCTTCGTCATCCATCCTGACGCTGCCAATTGGTCCAGTGGTGAGAATCTTTGTCTTCTTGACATTGAGCCTCAGTCCATACTGAAGGCTGCAGTCCTTGACCCTTCGCAGCAAGTGCATGAGGTCCTCCTCAGTTTCAGCAAGCAGGGTTGTGTCATCTGCATAACGGAGATTGTTAATAGACCTTCCACCAATCCTGATGCCACAATTCTCCTCATAGAGCCCAGCCTCTCGGATAATCTGCTCTGCATACATGTTGAAAAGGTATGGAGACAGGATGCATCCCTGGCGTACACCCTTCCCAATTTTGAACCATGCAGTGTTACCCTGCTCTGTTCTGACTACTGCCTCTTGGTCCAAGTATAGGTTTCGCATTAGCACAGTTAAATGTTCTGGGATTCCCATTCTTCTCAGATTTACTTCTAAGAATCTCAATTTGTGCCTGGTTATTGTAAATTTTATTGTTTTCTTTTTCCTGTTTTTTACTGTTTCCTTTACTATGTGTCCTTTGTTACTGTAAAGGAACGCTACTGATTTTTGCTTATTAATCTTGTATCCTGCCACTCTACTAAATTTGTCTGCTAGGTCTGAGAGAGTTTTTGTTGAGCCCTTGGGGTTTTTTGAGAACACTACTGTATTGTCTGCATACAGTGACAGTTTTACTACCTTTTTACCAATGTGGATGACTCTTATTTACTCCTCTTGTTGTATTGCCCTTACAAGTACATCCAATACAATACTGAAGAAAAGTGGTGAAAGTGGACATCCTTGTCTAATCCCTGTTTGCAAAGAAAATACCTTTAGTTTTTCTCCATTGAAAATGATGTTAATTCTTAGTTTTTTGTATGTACCCTTCCTATTTTGCTGATTGTTTTTGGATTTTGTAGACAGTCTTTTCTGTGTCAAGGGGCAGGATAATGTGTTTCTTTTTATTTCTTTTGCTAATGTGATGAATTATGTTGATTGTTTTTCTTGTGCTTAATCATTACATACTTATAAGAATTCCACTTGGTCATGCTGATTTTTTTTTATGTGCTCTTTTCTCTGGCCAGTGTTTTTTTAAGAATTTTTGCATCTATATTAATGAGAGATATTTCCATGTAGTTTTCTTTTTTTGTCACTCTCTTCCCAGGGTTTTGGTATTAGGGTCATGCTTGCATTATAGAATGAAATATGAAATGTTTATTCCTATTTTTAAAAATAATTTAAGTAAAATTGCTGACAGATCTTTTCTGAATGTTTGGCAGAATTCAGTTATAAAGATATCTGGGCCAGTATTTTTTTTTTCCTGAGGACTGCAGGGTGCTATTTAATTTTTTTTCTTTTTTGATTGGTTTATTCAATTGTTCTACATCTGTCCATGTCATTCTGGGTACAAGCTCATCAAGAAATGGTACTAGCAAAACTGAACTTCTACCCACAAAAGGCTAAAGCAGAATCTACATCTCACACCATACACAAAAATCAACTAAAGCTGGATCAGAGACCTAAAGGTAAAGCTCAAAACAATGAAGATCATAAGAGACAAAATGAGACCAAGATTATGGTATAAATAGACTGACAAACATAGCCAAAAATGCACTGCAAGAAGGTAACATCGATGAATGAGACCTTCTGAAAATCAAGTCCCTGAGTGTATCTAAAACTTTTTCCAACAGGGTGAAAATAAAATCTACTGACTGGGGAAAAAAACCCAATCAAACAACATTTGGTAATGCCATCTCATAAAAGGATCTCATAGTGAGAGTTTACAGAATACTATAGGGCCTCCACAAGGAAAAAGTTGACATCTCAATTACAAAATGGGCAAAAGTTATGAAAAGACTTTTCATAGAGGAATATGTTTGAATGGAAAACACATACGTTAAGAAATGCTCAAAATAATTGGTAATAAGAGATACACAAATCAAAGTCACAATATTATATCCTTTCAAATCAGTAATAGTGGCAATGTTTAATAGGACAGATAGCTATAAATATTGAAGAGGATGTGGAACTATCATACACTGTTGGTACAATTATAAAGTGGTACACTTACTCAGGAAGGCAGTGTGGTGTTTCCTCAAAAATTTGGGTATGGAAATTCCATATGACACAGCTATTTCACTGCTATGACTATGTTGTTGTTGTTGTTTAATGCTGTCGAGTCGTAGACGACTCATAGCGACCCTATGAACGAACAGCCTGAGCACTGTTCGTACATAGAATTTCCAGAGGCAAGCCATTT